CACCGATATAAACCTAACCCCAACCCAGTCCAGTCAGGCATGGCGCCCTACGGTGCCCCCGAATATCTAAGACTCAGTGGGTCTCCGCACTATCATGGAATAGCACTCGTGCCCGAGCATCGTATCATACATAATATTATTATGATACCAGTAAACCGCGGAACCATCCTAGGCCACCCACCACCAGTGCAGGAAGGACAGAACAAGGAGTTCGGTCCCCTAGCCATGCACCATACCCGACCTCGGAAACAGCCGATCCAAAGGGATTCCGGGGTAGGGATGCTTCTCGGCAGGAATCACGGTCATTCGAGCTCCCAGTTATTCACATGCTTCCTCCCGGTTCACATTATTGTACTGTACTAGCCGTTTTCACAAGTATCCGGATGCCTTGGCGCCAAGACATCAGGGGAAACCTTGCCAGTTTCTTGCGTCGACAACGATCCTTAGTTCCACAACACCACCCATTTGGAGATACTGGTACAACACAACGAGAGCTCTGGAGATGCCACGGGTTATTGTCAAGAGAGGTAAGAAGCTAATCTAAATCTGCTATCATAATAGTTTAGGCTAATTATAAAATAGGAAAAGACACTACTCCACAGCGCCGGGCTGCTGTAGTTACATTAAGATGTCTTGATGTCCCGATAACTTTCAAGAAAATCGAGGAACTTACAGGAGTTTCAAGTTCTACAGCCTCTGATATCTGGCGGCATGCTTTAGCAAATGCAAGGAAGGCTCGCTTTTGTAACGTGTTCGCAAGGTGCTAATCACGTTAACGGTAATAGGTACGATAGTTGGCAGATGGCCTGCTCTTCCAGAGAGGAGGCGAGAGCTGAGAACTAAAGGAAACTTCGAGGGTGTACTGAGGAACAAAGGAGTAACCGTTCAACCAAGTATATTGAAATACTGTCTGTCGAAGTCTGCCTTTTCTATCATAGAAACAGGTGGTCTTTAAATACACAAATCTGTTCATGTCTAGCATGAACGAAACTAATCAAAGGTATCAATCGATACACTTTGGTAAAACTCCTTAAGTATCAAAGCGATACTTAAAACAAAACATAAAACAAAACCAAGTATCAAACGATACTTAAAACAAACCAAGTATCAAAGCGATACTTAAAACAAAACATAAAACAAAACCAATAACCGAGTACCCGTACCGGTTACACCAACTATCAAAGCGATACTTAAAACAAACCATAAAACAAAACCAATAACCGAGTACCCGTACCGGTTACAGCTTTGCTACTAGTACGACTCAGACCAGCCAACCACCACCCTCTACCGATTCAACTTTCTCAAGCATCCTTGGTGTCTAAAAAACCACCACCTCTCACCCTGCTGTTATTTGCCCACTTAACAGTCCTCCAGTCCCTCCCAACAACTATGCTCTTGGCAATGCTCCTCCCCCAGACAAGGAATTCAGTTTGATGGAACTGATTGCTATCTCTGTGTTAAATACGGCTCCAAAGAGTGAAAGGCCTCCTTCCCTGAGTTCAGGAAAAAAAGATCAATTAGTAAAGTTTGTTAAAAGAGACTTTGCAACAAGGAGGATGGCATTATGTAACATTCGGCGAGAGGCTGGCCTATCACATGTAAGTGATACAAGTGTCTACCGCGCTTTAAAAGAGCGTGGGATTGGTGTGTACCAAGAGTTATTCAAATTTATTTTGAATGAGGAAAATAAAAAAAAAAGATTGGTAAGTTAGGTTTCCTAAATTATCCACTACAGTATAACTACAATAAGAACTTAAATGATTGAACCTCATGCTAGGACATTGGAGTTACCTCTACTAGTAATGACAAGAGTTATTCCGCTTTTTGGAGTTATTAGTTTGGGCCAAGGGGGTATGGTTTAGCTATATTCTTGCGTACCAGTCTAAGAGAGAGAATTTTGGACATCTTAGAGTGAGGTTTGATTATTTGAGCTCTTATGGAATTAGTAAGAGAAGTAATACTAATCTTATGATAAGAGTATTGTGAGAAACGTGTTCTCTAGAGGCCTACTGAGCAGTGAGCCAACTACGCATTTACAGACGAGATGTCTATTGAGATTGGCGGTCTCTATAGACCCTGTGTTGTCTGGCGGAAGAAGAGTGAGAAATGGGAGGATGATTGCGTTAGGACAAAGAAGCAGAGTATTTCCATCATGTGTTGGGGAATGATCTCCTATAGCTGAGAAGGTCCTTTTTGGGTCTGGGAGAGTGAGACAGAAGAGGAAAGGATGAGAGCAGGTGAAGATATTATATGTTATAATGATAACTGTGGTAAGGAGGAGTTACGTCTTAATACTACTTGGCATGCATCAGAGGAATGGAAGGAGCTAAGGATAAGAGAATTATCTGATGCTCGTGAAGCAAGAGTTTTAGCCTCTGTAACTGGTGTGAAGGCAATATCTGTGCAATCCTGGAGGGGAAAGAGATATAAGATTTGTAACCAGTATGGGTACTCGGTTATTTGTTTTGTTTTACATTTTGTTTTAAGTATCGCTTTGATACTTGGTTTGTTTTAAGTATTGTTTGATACTTGTTTTGTTTTATGTTTTGTTTTAAGTATCACTTTGATACTAAATTAGTTTTACCAAAGTGTATCGATTGATACCTTTGCTTAGTTTCATTCATGCCAGTCATGAACAGATTTGTGTATTTAAAGATTGCCTGTTTCTACGATAGAAAAGGCAGACTTCGACAGACAGTATTTCAATATACTTGGTTGAACGGTTACTTCTTTGTTCCTCAGTACACCCTCGAAGCCTCCTTTAGTTCTCAGTTCTCGCTTCCTCTCTGGAAGAGCAGGCCAGCTGCCAACTATCTTATCCATTACCAATAACATGATTAGCACCTTGCAAACACGTTACAAGATGAAGAAGCTCAAAAGGGGAGATCCAAGGGGGGTAGACTCCTGGCGTTATGTGACTTGTCTTGCTCAGCTAGTATTATGGCCTACCTGCCACACACGAAAACTCAACAACCTGGACTTTCTCTAGAGAGAAGGAAGGGATTGATAAGGTGGACTGGCCTCCTAATTCTCCTGATTTGAACCCAATAGAGCACTTATGGAACATAATAAAGTCTAGGATTCAAACCTGATGAGGTGTCGAAAGAATAACATCTGCCCAGGAAATGAAATTGGTTCTAAAGGAAGAATGGGAGAAAATTACTATAGATGAGATTAATAGGGAAGTATCTAAACTACCTAATATTCTATCTCAGTGTATCAAACAGGATAGGGGTAATAAATTTCATGCGTAGAATAGATCAATTTCTCATGATGTATTTTGTATGAGGCCCCAAAAACTCTTGGCGCCAAGGCATCCGGATACTTGTGAAAACGGCTAGTACAGTACGTACAAACTGTTGGCACCCCCCGCCCGCATTACCCCATCATGTCTCGCTAAGGCTGTTCCATTTTCTTTGCAAGGGCGCACTTATTTAATCCCAAGTTTTTACACTGGGAGTGTCAAACCCCTTGAGTGGGCTGTCCGGGATAGCGAAGCACCCCAGGGAGCGGAATCGTGATCAAAATCTCTCTCGTGAAGAAAAAAATAATTGAAAATCGAGTGATGATTTAGCGGTGATACCAAGCAACTACCGACATTCCTCCATAATATTATAATAATAAAAATCTAAAATATATGTAGAGCGACAACCAAAATACACAAGGCATGAACCGGAGATTTAAATAAACATTCTAGCACTGTACAGTACAGTACTACAACCCGACACAGCGATCACACGATCACCTCTCTCCCCATTACCGAGCCCTCATGATGCACCTTTCGAAACTCTCGTATGGGCTCAAAGAGTTCGACACCCCCCCCCCTCCTCCTCCTCGTGTCCAAAACGTTGTTGCACTGGTAAGAACCAACCAACCAGACAGCGGCGGCGGAGGGGGGGGGGAGGGGGGACAATCAGGAGGAGAAAGCAAAAGAACTGGGACCTTTCCGTGTTCCCACAGATCGACCGACTGACTGACCACTCTTAATATCAACCACACCACCACCACCAAACACTCTTGATGCAAGTTTCAGGCTAGAACAAGGCAAAAATCCGGGAACACGGAATATGCAAGTATGCCCTAAGTTGAGTTGAATTTTTTCTTAAAAAAAAAAAACCCCCCATGCGATCCGAAAAGAGCCAAAATTCGGCACGACCTCTTAGTTACCAGGGATGCTTTATCAATGCGAAATCGAAGTAGATAATCACCCCATCGCGATCTCGAGTATGGCACAATATCGCGAGCCTCTAGACTATAATAATAATAAAACTCGAGATGTGGAACCCTACTGGGTATCAGTTGGTTAAATATCGAACTGTGATCCCTCCCATTCAGCTGTCACGACACCCTCCCCATTTTTAGTTCCATCACAATCAACTGATAAACCCATTCGGTTTCACAGCGCTACCTTTTCCATCCCTCTGACTCCCCCCTCTCGCTAAACGGCTGGTGCAAAAAACCTCCAGCCTCAGATTCCTCCACACGGGGGTGGTGGTGGTCTCAACCCCCACCACCTGATCCAGTGTCAACTCCTCCCAGCCAACATGAGCACCGTGCGGTACTACGAGTAAAGTCAAAGCGGGGTTGGTTTACCGTACCGTAGTCCCTGATCGCCCCCTTCCCCCCGGAGGGGTGTGTGTGTGTGCTCCCCGAGGTGCTTTTGATTCTAGGGCTTTCTCGGATATTAGGAAGGGGGGTCTATTTGGACAAACGTCTTGGCGGTCAGAAGGGATTAAACTGTAACTGGTTGAGGTTTCAATTATCCGGACCTTTGTTCTCTCTAGTATGTATGATATGTATAGTACGAGTACAGTACTTGTATCGATGGGCTTATCAATCGAGCCGACCACCTAACTCCCCCCCCCACCCCTTAATATGTTGCTGCGCTGAAAGGGAATAACCCTGGAAAAGGCTGTATATGTGCGGATCATAATATTATACCGAGTTCAGGTAAGTGTTAGGATGAGGCTAATCTATCTTCGCCGATTATCAGGAGAGGGTTTTGGACCAAGTGTTGAAGTTGATATTACTTGTACAAGCTATGGTAACGACAGATACGGTACTCCCGACGCACCACCACCACCACGGATACACGGGTCTGAAAAAGGAAAAAGGAAAAAGGAAGAAAAAAAAAAGGAAAAGAAAAGGAAAAAAGGTACAGAATATACATTCAAGAGTAGTATTATTAGGGCTTTTGTAACGCTGTCAACAACAACAATAGTAAAAAGCCACCCCCATACGCGCCGGAAGAAAGGGAAAAGAAAAGGGATATGATGATACAAAACACATACACAACACGCAAACTCCTGGCACGCCGCCCAGCCCGCTCATTGGAATAAGCGAGGATAAGGATAAGGGTAACGGGAAAGAAAGAAGAAGAAAAAAACGTAAACTCGTTTCCTCCGCGAAACACTTTCAAAATTTTTGCTCTGAAGGTGGTAGTGGTGGGGACTCGAGGTTCTGCTGATCCCCTATTAATCCTTGGTACAATATCCCACTCTCCGTCACGATAATGGAGTGCTTCTGTAAGGACTTGTTTCGTGGCATAGGGTCCTTGAAGATCTCATTTATTTCTTCGAGGGTTCTCGCGCGAGTCTCGACAAAGCTATACACCGCATCTGTTAGACCGCACGAAGGAAGGGTGTTGGCAGGAGAGAAGGGAATATACAAAAGATAGATGACAATCAACTCGAGGATGTCCCAAGCAATGTAAAGAAAGCAAAAACCCCAACTGGTCTTCCCAATGAAGACAGAAATCCCATAAGAATTGAACAGCGTAGCAATGTTGGTGAAGAAAGCGAACACCCCCATCCCCTTAGCTCTGGTCTCGTACTTCAGACACTCGACCGGATACAGCGCTTGCAGAGGCGTATATGAGACCGAGTAAGTGATTCCAAAAAGGTAGATGAAAGCTATGGTAGCCGTGCTGCCCGCGGTGTTGGTGTTGGATTCCTTCCCAAAGTAGGACGTCAAGATTGTGATCACGGTCCACCAGGCGACGAACAGGCCCGTGCCTGTCATTAGGACTACCCGACGGCCCACGCGGTCTACGAGGACGCAGCCGACAATTGCCGCGCCAAAGGAGACGGCGGTCAGGGTTGCATTGTGGAAGAGTTGGGTTGTTTCGGATCTTATGCCGACGTTGTCGAGGAGGACTGGGAGGAAGTGGGTTACGGCGCCGTTGCCGGACCACTATGGTTTTGTTAGTTTGTCTCTCGATATCACATTGTTGAGGGAAGAGGGGGGGAAACGGGTAAAACATACTTGACCGAAGAACGCCATTCCTGCAACGCACACCATTCGCCACTTTGCGTTTGTGGAATTGAAGAGCTCGGAGTAGTCCCACCAACGCTTGTCGGAGCCCGCGAGGACGATCTCTTCCAACATTTCTTTGAACGAGAGAAGCACGACGGGGGACTTGCGGTTCCCATCACCATGGTAGGTTGCTAGGACTCGGATTGCTTCCTCATTGCGGTCGTTTGATACCAGCTGCGATGGTTGGTTAGTTTTTGTGGAGAGGACAGCATGTGGCGGTCAAAACTTACCCAACGAGGGGTTTCAGGACACCAAAGGCACAGCAGTAACACTGTGCCCGACGCCACAGATTGTAGCCATATGGGGAGCCTCCAGGAAAGATCCGAGTCCCAATACTGGGTTCGGTACATCGTCCATGTCGCCGCAAGCTAGTTTCTCAACGTTAGAATTGTGAGAATCAGGGCACATGTCAGAAAGGTATATCTTACTCCACCAACACAATAGAAGGTGTTATATAATCCAGTGATCGTTCCTCTCCAAGCGGGGTGTGCCATTTCAGCAACATATACCGGCCCCGCAGTGGTCAATATGGCGGCACCAAGCCCCAAAATAAATCTTCCGCCCATAAACGAGGCGTGTGTCGTCGAAAGTGCCTGCACGCAAGTTCCAATGATCACCGTGAGCGCCCCGCTAAACATTCCCCAACGTCTACCCCAACTATCCGATAACGGTCCGCAAATGAAGCACCCCAAGAAATGCCCGATGGAGTATATCGCAAAAACAACGCCGGTTGATGACCCGGTTGTTTTCATGTTGAAGTATCTAGAGATGATTAGTAAACCACAATTGGGACCCGCCAGCAAAGTGACGATCAAGGAAGACTAACCTTTGATATGTCGACATAGCATTGATCCCCCCCATAATGGATCCATCGTACCCGTTAATGCAAGAATTCAAGAATGCTACGAACAGATAGCAGTACAGCTTGAGCATCGACTTTGTCCAAGGACTCGGCTTCTGTGCCAGCAACGCCTTGGTAAAGTCTACGTGAGCAACGGTCCGGATGTACTTCTGGTCTTTCGATAGCGGAGCGCACGATGATAACGAGGCCGTATGGGAGTACTGCGACATTTCGAAAGTGTTCGCAGGTGTGATGTCGCCTCCGCCCGCACCCGATGCCCTCGATTCACTGCAGCCATCTCCAACAGCATTACCATACGGTGTGGTCAACTCCCCAACCGTTCGCTCCCCCGCCATATCCGTTCGTTCCTACCGGCCTGACTGTCCAGGTTGAAATTCACCGATATCCCAGGAGTCCCTCTTCTTTCGTTCCCCCACAGTTATAGTAAGTTGGACAACAAACAAAAGAAAAAGAAAAAAGTTCAATTGTTCAAAATAAAAATAGTCCGAATGGAGAGGATTGAAAAAAGGTTGAGACGGGGTATAGGGAGGGGGAATTATAGTTTGAGGGGGCGTTACTGCTGTTGTTGAAGTACCGGAGTTAACTATAGCAGTACCGGTAGTAGTAGTTGCAGCGGTGGTGGTAGTAGTTAATGGTGGTGGTAGTTGGTGTGGTTAAAATGATTGTCCTTCCTTTCTCCCCTTCCCTTTGGCCAGCCTATCTAGCATATGAAGGGTGCACTGGTAATTCCCTAAATTTCTTGAATGGCGATCACCGGGGGGGGGGGATGATGGTTTTTGAAGACGTCCCTAGCAGGCATGCGAGTTTTGTCCCCGTATTTCTCGCTTCCGCTACTCCCCTACCTAGCTTACCTATTTTGGTCGAGTCCATTGCACGACGATGGACCCATGCATGCAACTAGGATGTTTATTTATTTCGTCTTTCTCCCCAAAGGCGGGGTGAGGGTGGTAGAGAGAGTCGCTGACTGAAAAGACATCGTGCAGTACTCGGGTGTAAGGGTATTTAGCGCCCGGTAACACAAATCCTCTCGCCCAGCCTATTGCTCTCAGTTCAGAGTAACCGCACTTCTCCTTTCAGAAGTGGTCCGACTCTTTGCCGTCACCAAAAAAGTGCTCACCAGCTATCACTCGAACTTCCTAATCTGGCTTAGTCCACATATAAATACCACAAGTTTCCTGATGGAGGTGGGCACGACTTTTGTCGACCCCTTAAACCACCAAACAGTTCGACCGTGGCAGACTACCGTACCGTACCGTACGAGTACTCGTAAGGAGGATGGAATAAATAATAAAAAAGACATCTGTGCGGAGAAACATTGGGCCCTTTTCGTCCAATACTCGAAAGTATGTTACGCGTAGCTTGAAGCGAGAATACCGGTAGATGATCCTGGACATTCTTACCCCCGGGTCAGGATTTTCCTTTTCCTTCCTCTTTTCCCATTTTTTACTTTTCCCCAGCCCCAGTTACCGGTGGACCAGAACTGGTGGCACCACCGACCCCTCCCCCCCCCCCCCGCCACGCTGACAATGATGCTTACCCACCGAACTTCAGTCCGCAAGTGATGATGAGGAGAGAGGGAAGGGACCTTGCCGAGGCTGTCAGTAATTCAGGGTCCAAGTCAGCAGCAAAAAAACTCCAAGCATAGTACCGTGCTCGAGTACTCGTACTATGCACAATACCGGTCAGTGGTATTAAAATCCAAGTGCCGGCGGATTTCAGAACTTTTCAAGGACTACATCCAGGAATCTGTTATCGTGCAGAAGATTGATGGTGAATGTTAATGCTAACTTCCTCACGATACAGCGTACAGTACTGTACTTTAACGTAATGATGCTTGTGCTTGTAGGAACCGCGTTATCCAATGCCAAATGAGATTGGCCTGGAGCCGAATAATGCTGCTACTCGAGCACTATCTACAGGGGTATGCTCATACAGTTCCCATGTTTCCAGGCGCTACATCCCTCTCCGTGCGTTGGCGATGAGCAATGGGAAAGTGTGATGCCTACCGCTTCTCCCGCGCCCCGACTATGATACCAGCCCTAATTTTCCCTGACAAAATGGCCATATCTCGTGATACGCTAGTCAACAATCGCAACCACGACACTACCACATAGTCGCCATCTCCCATCTTATGAAACCCGGGCGGTCTAGAGGGTTGAGCTTGGCAGGAACCCGAATGAAGATTTATAATGTTGGTATATTATATGATTCAATACTAAAGGATACACTACCGGTATTAGTTGAAGGAGTAGAGAGGGATTGAGGGAGACACTTCCACCCCCACTCTCAATTGTCTTATCTTGCCTCGTTTGTAACACATAGCCCCTTCTGCCAATCACGCAGGGGAATGCGTACTCGAGTAGTGCTCGCTCAAATTTCCTTTCTTGTTAGGGGCTACTTGCACTACGGTACTCTTACTAACGTACATACAAAAAGAGTATGGCATTCCACACCACTTCAAAAGTGCCTGTCCCGGGCAGGTAGTACCTAAAAACAGGCTAGGCATATTCCACGCTAGAGCTCAGATACGCCTAGATTTCTCACTACAGTACGTGTTTCTTTAATCCCTTTTTCGGACACTGGTGCTCATCCAAACTTTTCCCGGGTCCGCGCTCATGCATGTCTACCCGAACACAAGGATCAGAAAAAACACACCGGCGCCCGAGCATGGTCAATAATCCGTGTGTCTGGAGGCACAAGAAAAAATTAGCCTCGTTGTTGCTTGGGTACTAGTACTTCTTGCCTGGGACGAGTGGCTATCCGCCTACCGGTACGGTACAAGTACGAGTACCGTACTCGAGTACAGTACTGTACCTACCTTGCCTTCATGCCAAGATGCGAACTTTAACCACTACAAACCGGAAAAGTCTTTCTCGCCTATGGCTAAGCTGTCCGCACCCATCTGTGATTGCATTCGTCCGGCACCAAGATAGCCTAGAAAGCTCCCCAAGCAACAAATATCCTAAAATTCCGTATCCCCGGGAAAAAAAGAGAAAAAGAAAAAACCCCTATTCTGGCCTCATTCCTAGTTCCCATTGGGGGTTTCCGAATCTCAACGAAGCAGATTCCCCATAGGGTAGTGTAGGAGAGCCCACGGTGAGTAGTTCGTCTCTCCATCCGTAGGAACCCCAAGCACAGTAACTCCACGAGCAGACCATTCTCACCGGTTTAAGAATCGAGGTCGAAACACGTGATTCGGGGGCATTTGGGTCGGGAAGTTCCAGAGGCGTTATCGATATTTACAGTACCGGTATTCCTCGGCTTTGCCTTCTGGTAGTCGTTCACATTGGGCGCCGTCGCCGGTAAGATGTCCGCACCTTGTACTCGTACAGCCTGCGGCAGTAAAAAAATGGAGTTCTGATTGGAGCGTTGGGTGGCTCGAGCCAATCGGTTTCCATTTTTCTAACCCCCCAGTTCCACAAAAAAAGGAAGTTTATCGCAGGCCGTACGAGCTGCTTCTCATTGTTGCCTCTAGAGGACAACACACGCGTATTTCACCTGTGGACTTTGAAACCCGGATATCCTCGAGCATAATCCCGAAGTTGCTTACTCGAGTATACAAGGGAGGAGCTCATTAAGCGGAACAAAAATATATTTAGCTGGTTGGCCCCGAATGACCGTCCCACAATTTCCCGCAGGACCATGCATATGTGATTTGATGCGCCCACGGTACTGTACGAGCACTTGTAGAGCGATTGCTATCACTAGAATATATCAGAGGTGATATAGGCTATTGCTCTACAGCGCTAGTACCAATTCTGTACTCGTAGGAGTAGTTTTGGATATTATAATATTATGAAGGAATTGTGGCGATGGCGCAGGCGCCGGGTATTCCAATTGATAGGCTACGGTAGTTAGTTCACACCTGATTTTTAGACGACATCAATGTGATCCTCGCTACCACGCCTGCTCTCTCACATGTGAGACTCTCCATCGGAAGCGAACGAGATGTGGGGACGTCAGGTCACATAAGGAGGAGAGGTTCGGGAGGTTTTGTTAAGACGGTCGTAACTTGAATTGTCCTTATCACCAATGGGACGACACTTGCTTTTCCAAATGTGCGCAGGTGCTCTTTGCACGGTCTCGGAGGCGATTCCTGGATACCATAGGGTATTCACGGCGGGCCATTGTTTACACCACACCGAATATTGGACCAACTTCAAGCGCAAAATTTGCAACCCACGCCAAGTTTTGCACAGTACTTGTACAGTACAGTACAGTACTGCGCTTAGCAAAACCCCAGCGTTCCCTGTAGTTGTTGCGGCACACACAAGCTGCCACAAAACAAGCTCGATTCGGATATATGACCGTCTTGACGAAACTCTATACTCTATGCTCTCGCTAGTTGCAGGGTGCTATAGCCCTGTTCGCTTATAGATAAGCTATAGGTAGCCTAACCCGGTGAGCTCGCGAGCTCGTAGCGAGGAAGGAGCGGTAGGAGGATCTGCGTTATGGTGGTCGGAAGTCTGGAATCTGGAGGAGACGGGCTGACAAACGTTGTTCAGGCTGACTAAGTAGTGCTATGATGTTCAGCGGCCACGGGGATTTTTGAAAGGGGAACTTTCGGGGATTGGGATACAGGTAGCGGCAATTCTTTTCCACATTCCGATTTTGATACAAGTGGCTGCGTGGGTGCGGGCCGCACGGCACTTGTCGATAAGCATAGCCATGGGTAAAAATAATAATCGGGAAGCTAGGGCCAGAAACGCGGGAAACCGATTGGCTCGAGACACCCACCCTCCAATCAGAGCTCCAGAATTCTGTCTCCCATTTTCCCAAATCCCTTTCCTTTTCTTCACAGGCTATACCCGGAAAACAGGGGTTGCGAATTAGTACACGTGTATGGGGGCGCTCGGATATGCACGGATTTTTTCTCCCATGTATTTTTTGCGAACCCCTGGGCCAAGTACCGGTATCTGCTCAGCCGCAGGAGCATCTTTTCACATTTGTGGATTCTGGTGCTTCTGGCAGGTCTGTCGGGTAATCCTTTGGCCCTCTGGTCTTGGCCGGTATGTACGAGTACTCGAGTACCTGAAGCAGATCTTCATTCGCGTTTAGTATGATAATAGTATGTAGATTTGCCAAGAGTGGCCTCATTTCAGGTTAATCCCTTGGCAAATATTTATCAATCGGTTTTGATCAGGAAACCAATAGCAGTTAACATGTCCATGACATTTCCCCATCCCTACCAAAATTTTGACCTACCCCTAAACCCCAACATCTCCATGAAAGCTTGAGATATTCCTATTTCCTCTTTGCCAACACGTAGATGATCATCCACTATATCTGGTAGAGTCACGATCCTCATCGGAGCCGTGGTTGAAAATCCCTTGGGGGTCGAAGTTGAGCGATATTTTCCGGGCAAAGTGCTCCGGCTGCAGACATCCCTCACCATATGTTTGACACCCCGCCAGCCGCGTTTTACACGCGGTGGGGTCCCACGGAGAAACATGGTGGTATGGTCGCCGCCCGCTGTAGGAATTCCGTGGCCGCTCGAGATTCTCATGTGAAAAGCACCCGCTGAACCGGAACACCCGGCGCTGAGTGATTGGATACTCACGGGTGTCTGGCAAAAAGAGATCGTGGAATGAGACACAGGATTCTGGAGTTCTGATTGGAGCGTGTTGGTGGTTTGAGCAAATGGATTTCGTGTCCCTAATCCATGTTTTCCGACTCTTTTCTGCGGAATGTGATATGATGTTTGAACGCACCTAAGCCATGCTCTCATGCAATTTTATTCCGCTCGTACTGAACCGGGTTTCCGTGGCTACCCTAAGCAATAGATGTGCTGTGGGTGAAAGTAATAATAGCAACATAGCTGTGAGTCCTCCTGCGTTTTGCCACCTAAAATGAAGATAGCGGGTGTTATTCCCTTTGAAGAATCCCCACCGACGAGAAGTGCTTTTGAT